AAATTCCCATTTGGCCCCAACAAGGTCTACTCCGAGCGACCGCCTTTTGCCGTCAAAAGGGGCGCAAGGAGACCGCGGTGTTCGGTTGAAGTAACCACAGTCACGTCTGACACAATCCAAAGTACGCTCCGTTTAGTCGAGTAAGGAACTAAGATAACTTTAACGTAGACCTAAAACCGTGACGACAGTCAGAGACTGTAACGTAAATCACGGTTTCGAGCGAACCTTTGCCTCGAGCGAAGGTGCAAATCGGAAACAAAACTACAGTCACGCTCCCGAACGAATGTTCTGACGTGATTTCAATATCGATAACATTACATGATGCGTCACGCAAACTAAACGCTGGGAGGGCGTTACAGTACAATATCCCTCGGTATTGATTGCAAACAAAGACCCAGCCATCATGTACATATATTTTCTGATTTATAAGTAAAGGTTTTTAAAATTTCGAACGCTTGCCACGCAGGCTAAAAATGACACGACATGTAAACAATCGAAAACATATTTTGGAACAATACACAACTGGTCAGCGGGCTGTCCCTAAGCACATGCTCTTTGGTGTTGTCCTTTTGGCGTCTATTTGAAAGTACTGCAACGGTTGCGAACATGCCAGTTTCTTTGGGGATCAGGAGTCTTGTATTATACTTCTCGACAGCATCAAAGGACATTCAAGGTGTTGTTACTAATTATTTTCGAACTGTGAGCCGTCGTTGATCCATCACTTCGCTCTTGAAGTTCGTCGTGAAGAATCGGAGACAGAAGCCTCGTGAGGCGCAACGGTTTTCAAGATGAACTGCACAAAATGATATAACAAACGTTCTCCAAGAATCAAGACTTTGCTGGAAAAAGCCGATAGTAAGACCAGGTAAGCCGCCCTGATTCGCTCTCTTTCTATCAAATGCAAAAGACTGAGCTATTTTAACCACGTTTGATGAAACAGAATTCAGGTCACTCAAGTCCACCTTGTCGGAAGGCTTTGAAGAACGGATGATTAGATGCTTTTAATTTTATTATCTAATGATAAGGAAATATTAATAAAGTGACACTGTATTCTGTAGTTAAGCCAGTGGAGGAGTTAAAAAGCACTTCTTCCATCCCCTCACTTTCCCCTATTTAAAACAGGGAGAATGACAAACATTTCTAATGAAAAAACCTTAAAGTCATTTCAACTAAAGAAGGTGGTAAGGATTGTGTGGTCTGGTTATACATTTACACTGTAGATTTCAGTACTTGTTTTGTTTTAAGTAAGGTTTACCTTACCAATGCATCATTTCTCTTCTCTGATAAATAAGTGCAAAATAAATGCATTAAAAATAGAGAAATTTAAAACCCTTTTAACCCTAAGATCAAAATTTGAATGCTCATTTGTTGCCCCTATTCATTTCCTACAGAAGTAGTGGGAAGAAGTTGATAAAATATCAAGCAATTTGTGTGATCATGTCCATAATTCTCATGAACACTCTGTTTTACAAAGCATTGATATTACAAGGAGAAATTTGATGCTGATCACTCTTAAGGCGTAAAGGGTTGAAAGAATAATGTGAATTATAATAATAAAGTTATGCACAAAATTAGGAAATAGAATTTTAGGTTGCAGAATTCTGCCTGTGTGATTGAGGTAACAGGGTCTGTCAGTCAATTTGCTCCCACAATTACTCAGAACTGTGTGTAAATAAACTTGGTGCTCCAAGTCAACCAGTTTTAATTTAATAACATTTCTCCTATGGCAGAAATAGAAAGGTGGGCATCCTTTTGGTAGTGACCAAGGTTCTGCGGCATTGATTGGAGTGCTAAGAGGACTTCGGGAGGAATTTATCACTATTGTAGAGGTAGGTGTTTTGGGAATACAATGTTTTTCCTGATATTGTGATACAAAATACCACAGGAGTGCTACAAACTCAACTGTACATTGAACCCTAAATGCTTGGGAAGCCCAGATACAAGTGGAAAGTCAGACAAAATTGAGATGCAATTTAGCATTTGTTATGAAGGTATCCCTTGGGGGCCATTCCCGTCACCAGACTACACCAAATCTCACAGAATAATAATGGCTACATAATACTTAATGAATTTTGATTTACAGCTGCAAAATTTCTTGATTGGTGAGAAATACATGTACTAAAATAATCTTCTTGTATCAGGACATGCACACTGTAATTACCTCCTCAATGATGTGTGAATGTATTAGACATAATTATGCTGTCATTCTTTTTCCCATAACATAAAGGAAGCATAATTTCAACAAACTATAATTTATACAGTATACCATACATGCATACCTGGAAACTGGAAAGAAGTAAATAACCAACATTTTTTGGACAATAGTATTGTTATGACCATACTGACTTTTTTATGTGTACGCACTGTTTGTTGTGTTTTGATTATTGTTTTTATCATTTCTAAAAGTACAACATTTGTTTTTATTGCAGAGGGATGCAGATGTTGACAGGAAAATTCATGATTTTGTTGTGACAAAGGGAGGCATTATTTGCCAGTTTCCTCAGAAGAAGATTGATGCAGTGATAATAATGCTTGGGTGTTTTTATGTATTTAATGTATCATACACCCAATGCAAAGCCATCTTGACTTTTCTAGATCAGGCATTGCCTGAAAATGGACAGGGGTAGACACTTGTCAATGTTTCCTCCCTTTTTTAATGACTTGGCAAATACCTCAGTTCTTGCTGAATGTTAACTCAGGACAACCTCGCAAGGTGTAGCCAAATTGTCAAAATGTTTTTCATGGAAGTTTTCTTTCACTCTTATAGACCAAGATTTGGCAAGATTTTTTAAACATAATATCTGTGGAGTAAAATATAGTTTAAAACATTTGCCAAGTCATTAAGGGCTGGGCTGGTTTACTAGTAAGATACAGAGTTGGAACTGTAATCAAAAGCATAGAGTGTTGATCTAGATATAACACTAACGGGGTATAATTACTCCAATTATGACTCCTTCACTTTTGATCTAGTGAAAACTATAAAGCATGGGAACAAGAATTTTGACTGGTAAGTGGTTTATCCTTCGACGATTACACCCCAGCTTAATCTGGTTTTCTACATCATAAGCAGAATCTGAAGAGTACAAAGTTGTGATGACTCCAATTCCATCAAGCTTCTAGTTATGACTTCCCTTGCAACTCTGATTTTTGATTTTCACTAGGTGATGAGTGCTCTGACTATGAGCCTGACTTTGTCACAAGTGAAAACCATCCTTCAAAAGGATTAGGTCAAGTCATTAAAGGCTCGCACTAGCAAGGTAGACAGAGTCGGAGTCATAATCAGAAGCTTGAGAATTGATATAGCTAAAGCATCTTAGTTCATTATTGCTCTTACAACTCTTTTGCTTCAATCTAATGTACATTGTCGGAATTCTTAGCAGGAGAACTTGACCAACTCTGACAATCTTTTATTTTTTTGTCAAAAGGGGAGTTATAAAAGAAACCTTAATTGACTCCAATTCTGGTGAGCTGTAATTGATGAAACCCTTTACAACTCCAATTTTTGATTTTCACTATAGGTTTTAAGTGTTCCTATGATGCTGATTATGATTTTGAGTTTGTCTTTTGTGAAAACCGTTTTAAGAAGTAGTTACTTTGATCGCACCGAAGACAAGTGTCTCTCTTGGCCAATTTAATTCCTCCAATAATTCTAAATGTTCAATCTAGAAAAGTTGAGATTAACCGAAGATAATATTACATAAATAGGTTGGAATACGCGTTGTTATGATGTACACAGATCACAGTAACTTATTCAGAACTGAATAAATGTTTGAAATAAGCCTTAGTTTGGTTTCATTATTTATCAATACCCTAATTAAGGGAAAAAATCTGTAGGCCCCCACCCAAATTAAAAAAACCATAATGGCCCGATATGGGGCTGAATCGGCTACTTTTGGAGGGGTAGTTTTTAAGAGGGCCAAAATTTGAGGGGGCTGTTTTGGCTACTGGAAAATCCAAAATGGCCCTAGTGTTTTCCATATTGACCCTTTACATGGTCTAATTTGGCCCCTATGCAAGGGTCAATTTAGCCCCAAATTTTGGTACCAAAACAGCCCCATCTCAGTGGGACTGAATTGGCCCCCAAACAGTACCGTTCTGGACTCACCCGTTTCGGCCCCATTTTTGGGGCCAAATTGGCTCTTTTCATTTTACAGTGTACTTAAATCTGGGGACTTGTCAAAGACCGATAATTACAGGGGAATCAGCCTGATTTGCATTATAGCCAAGATGTATAATCGCCTGATTTTAAACCGAATCAGGAGTGTAATTGACATCCGACTCAGAGTAAACCAGAACGGTTTCCGGCCCAAAAGATCTACAGTGGCCCAAATATTAACACTCAGAAGAATAATCGAGGGAGTTAAAGCAAATAACATTGAAGCTGTCATGACTTTTATTGACTTCAAGAAGGCATTCGACTCAATTCATCGGGGTAAAATGATGCGAATTCTTAAAGCCTATGGGATTCCACCTAACCTATTGCAAGCTATTGAGATGATGTATACGAATACAAAGGCCAAAGTGCTTTCTCCAGATGGAGAAAAAGAGATGTTCGACATCACAACCCGTGTACTGCAGGGCGACACATTAGCTCCTTTCCTGTTAAAATCGTGCTTGACTATGCTATGAGAAAAGCTATGGCTGGGAAAGAAGAAGAGTTGGGATTTACCATCACCCCTCGAAGATCAAGAAGACACCCCAAAGTAGTTCTCGCTGACTTAGACTTCGCAGACGACATAGCACTACTGTCGGATGAAATAGCTCAAGCTCAGGAATTACTGCTAACAGTATAAAAAGAGTGCAAGAAAGTTGGCCTTGTACTGAATGCTTAGAAAACAAAATCAGTTGCTTATAACATTGATGATCCAACACCATTACATACATCTGATGGCACTTATCTGGAATGGAAGGATGACTTCAAATATTTAAGGTCATGGGTTGATAACTCAGAAAAAGACATAAGCATAAGGAAAGCACAGGCTTGAGGAGCTTTGAATGGTATGACGAAAATATGGAAGTCCAATATGAGTAAAGATTTGAAAATCAGATTCTTCATAGCCACCATCGAATCAATCTTACTTTATGGGTGCGAGAGCTGGGCTCTGTCAAAAGCACAAGAAAAGTCGTTGGATGGAACATACACTAGGATGCTGCGAAAAGCTTTAAACATCCACTGGAGCAGCCACATACCAAACCAACAACTGTACGGAGATCTACCAGCAGTCAGCAACAAAATCGCCTCTCGTAGACTACAACTTGCGGGGCACTGTTATCGCCATCTAGAGCTAAGTACCCAGAAATTAGTCCTATGGGAGCCCACACATGGTCATCGCGGGAGAGGAAGACCGAATACTACCTATGTTGACACTCTTAAGAGGGATACTGGGGCATTCGAAGCAAGTGAGATTGCTTTACTGATGGCTGATAAGAGGCTGTGGAAAGATCTAGTGGTTGCCCGCCTTCGGGCGACCAAGTGAGTGAGTGAATAAGAGGCTTTCACTTGTAAACAGGAAACTTCCGATAAAAAAAAAAAAAAATGGCCAATCGTAGCCCTTTTTTACTACCTTAAAGTATATTAATAATATTGAGACTCAAACGTCTGCTAAAACGACGTTTCATAAGCAAGAATATTAATTTTTTTTCAAAAAATTCCATCTAGCGGTTTTACATTATTTGCCAATTTGTCAAAGTAGACCAAAATGTTAACAAACCGCTAGCAAGAGCGCTTCGATGCATAATAATTAAATCCTTCTTTCTATCAATCGACTGGACCTCTCTCTACGATCTTTCACACACATTTTTAAAGAGATTGTAACTACTATGAGGTCAAATTGCATGTCACAAGCGCTTTGTTTTCTGCAGATAACGGCCAAACTACAAGATTATCCATTTCTTACTGTATTTCTAATCATAAAAACTTCATCCCAAAATATCTCGATGACGCTCTTAAAGATTTCACTTAAATCTCACGAAAGCTTCCTTGAACGATCGTGGAAAAACAATTCCCAGTGCCGAGAAATACTGCTGCACGTAAAATAGGTAATGGGATCATTCCGTTGCTATGACAACTGCGATGTTATTGAAACCCTTATCATAACAAGTTTTCATCTTCATCTAGTACAACTGTGCTCAGCCCCGGAAATTTTCCAAAATCTTTGTTTATAGCAACGGAGTTTATTCTCAAACGTAGGAGGTATTGACCTTGAATAACTGCGCCGAGCCACAAGTGCAATAACAAGTTGGATTGTTTTTTTTTGCACGAAATGTTGCTAATTACGGACAGTTTTTTCATAAAATCAAATTTGCACGAACCTTTAAAAAATGTTTTCTCAGTGCGAGATATGGGTCTAGAAAATATTTTTTCGGTCATAATTAAGAGGCTATTGATTTCTACTTTTTTTTCCTTCAATTCCGACATTTAGAGGGACTTTTTTTCTGTATTTATGATGGATTGTTTAAATTAGCCATGATGATACTTTTATCTTGACTTGCGTGGTTATATTTATATGTCTTTCAAACCCTTGGCGATCAATCTCCAGTATACCCTCCTAATTAAAAGAACGCTTTATCTATGTAAAAGCCATTGGTAAACTAAGTAAATGCTAGAACAGCCAAGGATATTGCACCTTCATGCAGCAATCGATGCATCAAGAATATATCACCAACGTACAGCGAAGGCGGAAACGACCAATAGGAGCTTTCTTGATGATATTTTGATGTCGCATAAAACCCCTATGGGGACGGTTCAAAAACGGTTTTTAGGGAAGTAAAGTCTCACCATCGACGTGTTTTAGCAAATGAGAATTACATGGAAATTTCTGTAGACACCGCGTAGAAAGACTTTGCAACTTTATTCCAAAAAAATGTTGTCTTCGTATAGAAAGTTTCTAGAGAAAATGTAATATCGTTGTTCGAGCAAATGAGTATTACATGGAAATTTCTATAGATACCTGGTGGTCAAGATTAACTGCAGCTTTCGTCCAAAGCGTTACATGGAAATTACCGAAAACTTTTTTGGCAGAGAATTTCTGAATCAAACTGTCAGGGGCACCCAATGGATCTGTTCCTCAAAATATCTGTTTTCAGGCACATTTTTGCTGGCTGGGAGATGTGAAAGAAATAATAGTCCTTGGAAGGAAAGTGTTGCTGGGAAAAAGATAATTCAGGGTGTCAGAGGGGATTTGAAGTCTAGAATAGCTGCTACGGGTTACTTGTATGGGTTACTTACCACTCAAGATCTGAATTGTGCCCTATGAAACTTCCCAGTAAGTCAGGTTGCAGGTTGTAAGGTTACTGGCTGGTAACTTTTTCATCAGTCTTGCTGGCAGTGAGCAACAGATAATTTTTTTCCAGCAATCTCCCAAAATGCTTAAAATAGTCTCAGAAAACTTTATTCACGCTTTGTTGTTGTTTTTAGGTCTTTTTCTCAAAATTTCCCGTTGGGTGCCCCTGAACTGTGCGTTCAGGCAGCTGGGGTATACATGGAAATTTCCATAGACATGCTGCAACTTATACCAAAGAGTATTTAAAATTAAAAATCTGCCATTAGATATGTTCCATTGACAGGTTGCCAGGTTTTTAGACATAACATGACCATTATATGCTAGATGAGGAATATTTCTCTGATAATATTTAGTTGTTAACCACTTTAGTGTGGAGACGCATGTACCATTATCATGTCCTTATTGCGGTTAAACAAGGCTTCGACGAATTCTGTTATGAAGTTCTTGAAATAAACTTAATCAAACCATCACCATGGTAGTAGGTTTCATCAGAATAATAGCTTATAGTGTCTTATGTCTTAACATGGACAAATCACAGATAGCTATTAAACAAACTTTTCCACTTCGATGGAAAAGCTACTATCACATAGCATGCCCGTTTTCCAAATCAGCTACTTCAGAAAATCTGCACTTAAAAAATTACGTGTTTTCATGGTACTAAGAAAACAGCTGATTCCCAGCTCTAGTGCACGCAAGCCAGTCATGCAGAAAGATACTCATGTCCCTGTCTCGTGTGTCATGAGTGTAAATCGTGATCTTTGTTAAGAATTCAAAAGGGCTTTTGTTGATAACTCACTGCTTATTCTCATTGAAGGCAACCAGAACAGCTGTGCTGTAGTTTTTTTACAGGTCGGCGTTCTCGTGGCATCCAATTATGTCCTAAACACCTTCCCCCCACCCCCTTTTACTTCCTTGCTCCATCAGGACTTCTACAACTCTGGCGTAAAAGGAAAAGAAATGGCTGGCTACGCCCCTAAATGAAATCACCGCATGCCAATAACCCTTCCGCGGGTTTTTCAACTTTGGACACAGAACAGTTAAGGAAAATCCGTCGGCACTAGTGGAAAGAACGCTTAACATTTGTAAAATTGCCAAGTTTGAAAGTAATACTTCCTAAGCGAGCGAAGATATAGCTCCGCAACTGCGAAAATTCAGAACTTTGAGGAGCTGTATCTTCATTAGTTTTTAACAAATCACTTTCAAAGATACAAATTTTACTAATTTAAAGGGCATTTTTTTTAGCGGAGTTGACGGATTTTTTCTGACTTGTCCATGCCATAAGATGCAAAAAAAAAAAAAAAAAACAATTCCTTGGAAAGGCCTATTGTTGCGCTTGTGATGAGATATGATACCAAGTGACGGAGTGAAGTGAACTCACAGAAGTAAGGGAAAAAGAACAGTGGCGAATCCAGGGGAGGGGCCTGGGGGCCCGCTCCCCCCTTTATTTTTAGACCAAACAACTTAGGCCTGAAAGGCCCCTTTCCCCCCTTATCTCAGGGTCTGGATGACTGCCGCCTTACCCCCCACCCCCTCCACCTCCCCTTATCTGAAGGTCTGGATCTGCCACTGAAGAGTAAGTGTACACTTAAACGCGTTTTCCCGACAACCTTTCTCGAAATAGCTGTTTTACCTCGATGAGATGTCGTCAGGTTTTTTTTTTAAATTTACAATATTAAAAGTTGGTCATAATCACCCCCTACTGATTGATTGGAGTTGACAAAGCCTTTTGTTTCATTCTCTGTGTAGGTAGTGTAGCCAGCGAAGAGGCTCGGAAGTGGAGCGGGGCGAAGAAGAACATCGGCGAGGGAAGCAAGCCGAGCGTAGCCTGGAGGGGAACAAAAGGCGAGGGAGCCTTTAAACTTTCTTTGTATCATGATCTTATTGGTCAGATCACTGACTGTTGACAAGTGAGCGATGAATACCTGCGATTTATCAATTATTTATGCAAATTTCCTTTGGTGGAACACAATCTTTATTTTTAAACAAAGCTATTGTCTACGTTGCAGGGATCTTAATTGTCGATGGATGCATTTATTGTTAACACATAATTGATAAAAGTCCACGAAACTGCATATAGAGTCCATGTCTACATTGCTTGAAGTTCTATAGGTTGGTCCTGCCTTACTGAATACGAATTGTTTTTGCAGAAAAGCTCCTTCGAAGCTCTCCTGAACTCTGTCAATCTAATCGCGTAGATCACTGGATTCAATATAGAATTAAGGTGATAAAATGTTGTTGCTATCTTCATAGGTGTGAACTGAAACCAAACGTGATGGTCTGAACTTATCGCGATACACATAATTATTATCCAGGGAAGAAGAGTAAGTATAGAGGCAGCACTAACTATGAATAAAGTTACTGAAAATTTTCTTTCTGCTGACATAACTGACCCTAACTGCTGGACATGAGCTTTCCTAATAAATTTTGACATAATTATAACATAAGATGTTGTTAGCACTGCAAGGGTAAGAAAAATATAAATTATCCAGGGGTATCGATCTCCGAGGACCGGATTATTCAAGCGACTGATTTGTAGACCACATGCTAGAGTCAAAGCTCCGAACCAACTAAAAATGATAGTCTTATAGTAAATGCTTTTCCCAAGTAAGCAATGCCTAAATGGGTACAGTGTTGCGTGCAATCGCTCTAAAGAAATTAAAACTAGGTTACCCAGTGAAGCTATCCAACACATGTCAGAGATTATTAAATATACATGTGAAACCCCGAAGCCTTTTTCCCGTTTTTTGTTCCGTATATAAAACAGAATGGTGTCAGGTCCTGAAACGGCTGCTATCAGTAAATCAGCCACAGTTAGGTTCATTATCAAGTACGTGTTGCGCCTGCGTAGATGGCGGCTCCTTGCAAAGACGACGAGAGTGAAGCCGTTGATTATTAACACCATGATAAACTGACTAAGCCACACTGCAATCCAGATGTCCATTGTCGCGTTAATAGATATCCTTTAAACAATTATTTCAGTACTGTTTTCCTTTCTGTTTAAATAGGATCTGGAATACGAAAAAATAATAATAAGGAATTATTACGGAAAACAGACATGCAAAGTCGCGTACTGAAAAGTTTTGCTCGATTTGAGTCCGATTGGACATTTGGAGAAAGTGTTATTTCCCTAATGTTCTTGACAAACAGTTCCCTGACCTTAAGGTGATATAGTTATTCATAACGATTCTTGAGAT